CCAGTGCCTCAATGTCCTTCTTGTAATGGGGGCCCAAAACTGGACACAATATTCAAGGTGCGGCCTCACCAATGCTGAGTACAGGGGAAAGATGACTTCCCCAGTCCTGCTGGCCACACTGCTTCTGATACAAGCCAGGATGCCATTTGCCTTTTTGGCCACCTGAGCACACTGCTGCCTCATATTCAGCTGGGTGTCAACCAACAGCCCCAGGTCCTTTTCTGCCAGGCAGCTTTCTAGCCACTCCTCCCCAAGCCTGTAGTGTTGCATGGGGCTGTTGTGACCCAGGTGCAGGACCTGGCACTTGACCTTGTTGAACCTCATACAGCTGGTCACAGCCCACTGGTCCAACCTGTCCAGATCCCTCTGTAGAGCCTTTTTACCCTTGAGCAGATCAACACTTCCATCCAGTTTAGTGCCATCTGCGAATTTACTGACAGTACACTCAATTCTTTAATCCAGATCATTGATAAAGATACCAAACAGAACTGGCCTCAATACTGAGCCCTGGGGAACACCACTGGTGACCGGCCTCCAACTGGATTTAACTCCATTTACCACCACGCTTTGGGCCGAGCCAGCCAGCCAGCGTTTTACCCAGCAGAGTGTATGCCTGTTCAGGCCACTGGCTTCCAGTTTCTCAAGCAGAATGCTGTGGGAAATGGTGTCAAAGGCTTTACTAAAGTCCAGGTACGCTACATCCACAGCCTTGCCTTTGCTTAGGCAGGAGACTTGACTGTAGAACTATTCACCATTTCAATATCAAGGCTATAAAATACTGTTGGACATGTCTGACTCTAGCCTAGGGAAGACAGCAACATACATAAAGCATCCACAGTCATTGCGTTCGCGGCCCCGTGCCCCAGTAACATACAGTATTGCCATTGCTAGAAAAAGGTCACAGAGTTTGTACTGAGCTTGCAGGGCCTTATGAGGCTCACTTTGTCAGAACCTGTCCTGCCTGGAGCCCTGGTTTTATTTATTTTAGCCTTTAGAAGTGGGAACAAAGGTTGGGTGTGGCAGAGTAGATGCGTGGGATGGTAAGAGACAGGACATAGCCTGGCATCTCAAGGCTATGAATAGCTGACAAAAGGCCAGCTTAGACCTGCAGCTGATCACAACTGGTTTTAGGGGTAACAAAAAACCCAAGAATTTAACATACTTAAAACACACTTAACATTTCTAATTCAGAACTTGTAGACCAGTGAAAAAAGGCCAAAGCATAAAAGCATGTTAGCAAACCTAAAAATTGCCCCAAGTAGATGCCATAAGGTGGAAGAGAAAATCATCAGCATCAACACCTTATTCCTCCCAGTGAATGACCTGAGATACTGATAATGTGCTGCAGCTTCCCTCCAAAACACTCCAGACCAAAGCCATTAATTTAAGAACCCAAAGGGGCAGTGGAAGGGTGAGCATAACACTAGAAAAAGAGGTAAATAAGAGAAAGTGTGTATATATCAATTGTAATTATATATATAATAATTTATAAATAATATAAAATTATTATAAATAATATAAATTTATATATTATAAATA